ACGTCATTTCGGCATCCTGTTCAATTCTGTTAAGAAGCCGGGTTCTGATGTCAGCATCATGGGATGACTGGAGACCGGATAGAAAAATGAGGCACTTAAACTGATTCTCCGTCATTGAGCTGAGCTTGAAGCGCTCGCATTCTCGATTGACAACACCGGCAAACGTGATGAAATCATCATCATCTTTCTTGGCCAACTTAAGGCATTGGTAGCGGATATTGAACATTGATGTTTGATCGCCGAATATCTGGGACAGTGTTCTGACCGTTTCATCAAAGCTGAGGTCGCGGGGCAGCTTGGGGAGAATGAAATTTGTGAACCGTTCATGCTCCGGTGTGCCGAGTTTTCGCAGCAATAGTCTGACTTTCCATCCATCGTCAAATTTGGAAAAATCAGTTTTGAACATGTCTTCGTACCGCTTGAACCAGGAGTCAAAAGTGTGACCAGAAAGAGCGTCAAATGTGAACTCCGTAATTGAGGCCGCGGCTGCATCAGTTGAGGAAACAGAAGACTCACCAGTACTGACTGCTCCGTTCTGGATATGAAGTTTCTGAGTCAGTGATTCAATGAGCTTCAGTTGCGCTTCTTCAAACTGCTTTTGTTGCTGCTGCAATATTCTCGGAGGGGATCCGCGTGGATTCCTGCCTAACATTCTGGTAGACTTATTAAGGATCCCGGGGCTTCTCAATGACCAGGCGAGATGTGCGCATCCTGCGCACCCCTGAAAGCATAAAGAGAAGCAGCAGCGAACAACTGCGTGATCTGAATCCACGCAGGTGTTTCATCACAGGTGATGATGAGTAACTGACTAACGCCATCTACGGCTAACGGCTGTGGCCACTGCGTTGGGGTTGACTCATCATCGTCATCATCGACAGAATGACGTCAGTGTTCAACACCGATGTTTCGCTGTCGTAAGATTGATTTGGAGATATCTGAGGGTGTCGGCACCATGTAACGAGCAGATTTTACACATAAAACCGATGGGAGACGAACGGAGTCATCAGTCCTAAGTGCTGGACCTACAAGAGGATGGTTATTAATGGGGTGGAAAGAGGGAGAAAAAGTATGTGAAAGAGAATGAAGGGAGACAACATCAGTAGCCTGTTTTCGCCTACCCACAATGCTGCATGCAGCGAGTAAGGGACACGGCTGATGGCACCACGCGACCGCCGGTGTGGCTTGAGTTTATTTGCAGGTGCGGAGTTCATAGTTGTACGTGGGCTGGGATACTGCCAGGGCGCCCACACCTAGACAGAGGGACACTTAGGATCCTCAACCAAAACCTTTGGCTCAAAAGCCTAACCACAAGGAGACGGCGACTGGCGGGAAATGAAAACGAATTACCATTTTTACGGATCAAGTCGCCACATGTTCCGATTCCCAACCAGAAGGACCAAGAGACTGTGTTCATCAGACCTCCAACGATTAACCAACCTGGTATGGGAGACTCTGTGAATGCCACGGGGACACCCCCGCAGTGTAGCTCAGAGGTACGTAAACCGTCACACCGTGGTAAGGTTCAGTCTCTTAGTGACAGTCTTCGAAGATGAGAACGATGAGAAGACCACTACAAGGCTCTGGCAAGTCAACGCACGTTTCACTGACTCCAGCAGGTCAACAACAGAGGACACTGCATCGGAGGTGAACTGACTAATGGCTGAAGCAGTTCGCACCCTCCCAGTGATTGCTCACATTGCAATGGTAATAGTAGTCTTTCAGCTGCAATGTCATTCTGGTGTTTAGCTGCTACGCTATCCGAAGGAAGCACGGGGTGAAATACGGTCCGGTTACCCAAGTCTACCGAGGATCGATCAAAATGCAGAGGCTGGGTTTGAGCAACGTACAACCAGGTCAGCGGGTTCGCGCAAAAACCATTGAATCAAGTCGAGCTCATTGCTTATACTGGCCGTCAGGCTGTCCAGTGAGATACTGTGCTGCAGCGGGTTATTAATCACCACCACAGCCAGTGGCCACGAACCTGCCCACATGATGAATTGAGACCTTACTCCAATCGACATTACATGACATCACCGCCTGACGGTTGCCTCGTGTTTTAGAGCTAATTTTTGCAATGCGTTCTGCTAACAGAAAGCGATGCTGAATCATAACAGAGTGCCCCCAGCGGAGGCACTGCTCCGACAGAGGCTTCAAAACGCGAGAACTTATTCAGCCAGGGAGAAAGCAACCAAGGTATCATAACACGCGTATGGGAGAATAATTCAACCAAAATCACGAAGCGATCGCGCGCTGTTTCAGTGTCGGCTTGAGTGTTGTTTCGTGTCCACAGCGACACCTATACCTCACTGGCTCGACAAAGCATTGCGTGATAGCAAAATTGCCCCACCTGTTTAAATGCGACAATTTAGTCGAATTCGACAACGAATCCGTCAACACTGCCACAAACAGAATGACTGGAGCCTAGAGTTTTATCCGGAAACCTTGAATCCCGGCTCCACCGCAGAAATACCATCAGCTTTTCTACTGGAGGTTCAGCTCCAGCATGTATTACGATCGTGATACCACACGGGCAATATCCAAAAGCCAGTCACTCACTATACTATAAAGCTGAGTTCATAAAGGTCAAGGAGCACACGGGCAATATCCAAAAGCCAGTGGGATCACTCACTATAAAGCTGAGTTCATAAAGGTCAAGGAGGAAGTGATAAATGAAACCCTATGCCAAAACTGCAGAGCAGTTCGCTGTCGGTGCCCGCAACGGCCAGTAAACTTACCCCGCACGTGATTGGTCAGAAGACAACCCATTAGCCTGTCAAGCATCAGGCGGACTCTGATTGGCCGAAAAGCAGCACCAAACAACCGATAATGACACAAGTTATTCTGAATGCTGATAGCCCATGCCGCGTTCAGAAGGAGTTCGAATTCTCACATTCTTATCTGGATTTCAACGCAATCCTTATTTTCTTTCGGTACTTCGTAGGAACACTTTTGCCTGGTAGGATTAAACCTGGGACTTCGGTGATGCATATTCAATAGTATTACAGGTGGGAACGGCACGGACGGTGGATACGAAGATGGTGACTCGATTTTCTGCGCCGAAAGTTCTGACATAATGGAGTCTGATTTCTTGGGATACTGAAGGGGCGAAAATGGCCTTGAACAGCCTGTTTCTGGTAGGTGTGGCGTTTTGTACCTTTATTTTACTTCCATTATAACACTGCGTATTTCATCAATTGCATAATCGTTTTTTGTTTGAATACGAAAAACTACAAAAACGCGCACTTGTACAATTTCACAGAATACAAGCGTAGTTACGTGCTTCGACTCTCTCTTCTGATTTCGCTCGCGCTTGCAGCGGTCATTAGCGAGTCTCATGTACTAACTCTGGTACCAAAACATTTCAGACATCTTCGGAATCTATTGTATGTGGGAACTGTTCAGAAGAAGACCCCTGGACCAACATAATTGGATTATTGTTTATTCGCTGACCTGGGCCAACGACGAACTATTTTAATGAGAACAATTTTTAATGAGTCTGTTCCATCTGATTTCTTTATTTTTGTATACCCAACCTAGCGTAATTAATTTTACTTTTTTGCCACACACTCCTGGTAAACTAACTTATTGGGTAGCCAGACCACTACACAGGTGCGTGCGGCCACATCTAAATATTTTTGGCGCAAATCTTGTTTGGAAGGATTCTAGCTCATTATTATTCACTTTTCAAGGCCCCCGGACTCTCTGAGTGGTGCGGTATTGCACACAATGATCCTACTTGAGCCATAATCCACATGATCTTGCAGCAATTCGAAATTGCGGCCCGGTAAAACCGAGTCACTATGTGAAATTTTTGATCCTCTCAGTGTCAGGAGGGCACAGTCTGCCGCGGTTCACCTATGAAAAATATTGTCTACGTTTATCTGTATGATCAGTCCCTGGTATTTCTCAGTTAGTATATATAAACCTCGTTGAAGTACATCATCTTTGCTCACGCACCAGTTACGCCCCTTGTCGGGTAACGAAAAGACCGCAGACCGATTGCCAGCAGACCAGCCCTCGCCGGACCAGTAGCCAACAGCTGTTTTCTGTTTAAAAAAGGCCCAAGCATCAGCTTTCATTTATCCAGCTTTATCAGCTTTCAGTTATCCAGACGGGTTTCTGTATGGGTCAGCGCTTCTGGTGCAATCTCTTCCCGTATACACCGCGTGGTTGCAAGTAGGAACCACATGATCAATGCGGTCCAATGGTGCATGGAGGCTCTAACTGTTAACTCATTGTTGGTCAAAGTTTTCTCAAATAGTTCTGAAGAATTCGGACCTGAATATCAGTTTAGTTGTGTAACGTGGCTGTGAATAAAGACACGGCTCATGAGGTATAACAATCTAGTCATGGAGGCAGACCGTCGAAGCCTGTACATAAGAGCTTGGTTGTTAAAGCACCACTATTAAAACCATAACTGTCCACTCCATGAACGGTAATGGATATATTATTGTTAGAAGGTAAATGGTTTTCAGGATGCCAATCTGTTAAATTTCGGATGCATGAATTCAAAAAAGCGCCGCTTCAGCTGGGAGGTCTGGTCAGTCGCTGAGTCCGCACGGATAATTTACACTATGGTGGGGGCTTACAGCGCCACAACTTGACCACTGATAAGTGGAATCTGAAATGATCATCTTAGTATCATAGACGTTCGGTAAACCATATTTCCGTTATGGTGATGAGAACGAATAAGGGTGGTTGGTTGCAGCAGTTTACCCTAATTAGGGGCTTGATCCATTGCGTGGCAGAAATCTGGTGCCGGAATTGAAGAACCCACTTTAGGCGAGCATGTTAGACACCACATTTGACAAAAAACAAGTCCAAATCCATCTCTATGAGCATTACCCTCTTTAAGTGGAGCGCAGGTCACCCAAAATTATCGAGTAAGCCCATTATGAGTCCGACGTTTTGACTGCTTTGTCATGTTTAAACAGGGGTTTGGGTAGCGTGGCTATACATTCGAGTGATCAGCCGTCCATGGACTAAGTGAAGATTTTACCAGGGTTCTATGTGACCTCATAAAAAGTTATGTTTGATGTGTTGTGTGTTTGATGGAGGGTGGAAGCATGTTACAATAGTAGTGGAGACGTCATTCACAGTCAGGAGCTTCTGGTGGTATCAACACTAATTGCGGCCATGCACTTAACTGGCTATGCGGTTGGCTCTGGCACTCCGTAGACGAAGGCTCTTATGTCTCTGTCAGCTCTATCTAAAGAAGGGTTCACTTTTGTGCGCCAAACTTGCTTGCTTCGGATATTATTCGAATACGTCGTCAGTGGCTTATTTTTATAAGGAAGACAAACAGCTAAAGAAATCGTTTCGACAATATGATACAAGCTCTGGGTAATTCATAATGTCATGCCATCATTGCACTGACACCTCGGTTTCTGGAAATCTCGAGGCGGATGCTATGTCTGGGGTGTTTGGGCTGGGATGTGCAGTCCTGTTGGCAGCGAGTTTTTTTTGGGGGTTGTTCCGGGGAATATGCTGATGTAGAACAAAGCCATTGTAAGGTCGCAGGTATTTTTGATCAGCATGGGGATCCCTTGGGGTGGAAAGCGCAGATTAGATGGGGTGAATGACAGCCAAACAGGGTGTCAGAATCGGACGTATCCGAATTCGGAAGCTTGGGAAGAGGAGGAAATAGGCTGG